GGGGGTGGCGAGGGAGAGCCCCCTCCTGGGGACGGGCAGTTGTCCCCTGGACTGCCTGCCCTGGAGCATCCCCGCTGTGATGCACCGTCTCTGGCAGCTCTTCCCGTGCCCCGTGTCTCCGCTGCCACCAGCACCCCATCAGTACCCTGCACCCACAAACCCCCGGGCCTGGCCCCACAGCACCCACACACTGCAGTGGGTGTCCCTGGGGTCCAGCGCTACCCAGGCATTGCCTGAGCCCTGGGGCAGGTGGGGAAGGCAAAGAACCCATTACCCACCCCGGACCTCACCCCAGCCCACCCATCTGCTGGCACATCCCTTCACTGGCTACGGAAATATGCCCGTCTCACAGGGTGTGGGGTCACCCCAGTTGCTTCTGCCCCCTTCCCAAAGCCAGCACCTGCTCCAAGGCGAAGGGGCTGCACTCACCCTGCAGCAGGTACTCCTCAAAGAGCATGGCTGTGTCCCCCACCAGCTCCAGCAGCCCCTCTGGTGGGTGTCCCCCAGCCTCTGCCTTGCCCGTGCCGCCCTGTACTTTGCACGGGGCGGCCGCACTCTGCTCCGCACCGCTCTTATCTCCCAGCCTCGCCGAAGACGGCAGCTCCAGCAGCGCAACGTAACGTCCCCGTTGGCCCGGAGCTGCTGTGAGCACCCTGGGCTGGGGGCCAGCCCCACTGCTGGTGCAAGGGCTGACACCCCTCATTTGGGGTTTAACGAGCTCCAGTGCCAGCCCTGGCCCAGGACATGCTCCCACTGCAGCTCCCGGGAGAGGGCATACAAAATGGAGGTGTACAGGAGTACAGGACCGGTATAAACCACAACAAGTTGTGTTCAATACCACCTTTTATTGTGCACACTTGCCAGGTCCGTCTTCAAGGCTCAGCTGACTTTTGCGGAGGATTTTGTGTGCTGCAGCCACCCAGAGAGAGACGACACATGGGAAAACCTGCCTGGCTGGATAAGGCCCCTTTGGAGACATCCCAGCGGTGGGTGAGTGGGGAGCGAAGCCGGGCACAGAAATCCCTGTGGTGCCCAGGGCTGGGACCCAGCTGTGCTCTGGGGCTGGTCCCGGTGAAGGCAAACCCATCCATGTCTTCTCCAGTGGTGCTCCCAAGTCCTCCCATGGCTGCTGCTTGTGCCACGGGCACCGGGAGAACAAGGTGCCGTGTCCACAGTCCCTCACAGGCACACCAATGCCGCCCCACACTCCTCTCTGCCCGTGCCCCCCGGCAGCCCCGCTGCCCTCCCCAGCCATGGCCGAGAAGCCGTGCTCAGCGGGGAGGTTTATTTCCTGCGCCCGAGACGGGCCATCAGCTCGGCATTGGCAGCCGCCTTGGCCTGCAGCTCCTTCTCTCTGGCCAGGTCGAGCAGGATTTTCAGTACATGGGTGGGGACATCAAGTGACAGGGACACCTTTCTCGCCTTTTTCCTGGGAGCAGGTCTCTTGGCAGCTGGGCTCATCGGCCAGGGCAATGCTTTTCTTGCTGACCCCTCCAGCAGTGGCGGGCTGGCTTTGTCTGGATGAGACCCTTCCCCAGATCCGTGGTCACCCCTCCTCATTTCAGGGAGATCTGGCAGCGTCTCATTAGCAGCACCGGTGGTTTCCTGCTTCGTCAGCTTCCCTCCGTCCCCAGCTTGAGGGGCTGGCGGGAGCTGCTCATGGCTTGGCCCCTTCCAGGCTCTCGCCGGCACCCCGAGGACCACCAGGAAGGTGAGCAGCGTCCTGCAGCGCAGCACAGCCAGGAGTGCCTGCGGGGAGCACGCAGCCGGCGCTGAGCATCGTCCCCCCCCATCACGCTGCCGTGGCCCCACAGCCCTCCAGGCAGGACGCGTCCCTGCCAGGGTGCCACACGCAGAGCCCCCCCACTCCCCGTGCCACCTGGCCATGCCCGGCAGTGGGGGCTCACCTTCCTTTTGGGGACCCTTCAGTTTTCCACCCTGATTTTAACCTTTTCACATGGGGGGCAGTTTTGGGGAGGCCGAAGGGGACGTGGGAAGCAAATCAGCTGGGTGTCCCTGTCCTTTCCCACAGCCCCTGGCCAGATACTGTCTGTCCCCTCCATTTCACACCCTCCAGCCCTTTGCCACTCAGGGGAAGGGATATTCCCACCCAGGGGGGGTGGCTGCCTGGGGACCGTGGCTGCTGCCCAGCTCCAGACCCTTCCCTTTGGCCAGGGAAGCGTGACGTGCCCGGGGTTTCGGGGCTGGGCAGGCAGTGGGGCTTTTCTCTTCCCATGCCTTCCCAGTGGATGCCATCCCCCGTGGGGATGCTGGGCTCTCTGGGGCAAAAGCTGAGCCACTTGGCCTAAAATACACAGCGGGTCGGTGGCAGTGGGGTGACAAGGGCACGAGTCCGCCCACATGCACAGAGTTGTGCCGAGCCTCAGCATCTTCCTCTGCCCCGTACCCAACCCTGGTCCCAGGGAGGGCCCCGGGGGATGCAGGGTGCTGTGCCGCAGGGTGGGGGTCAGGGTGCTGTGCTGGAGGGGTGGGGTCAGAGTGGGTGTGGCGGGACTGCCGCACAAATCCTGCTGTTACGGCTGCATCTCCCCCGAATCAGTCGCCCAGCGAATCAGTGAAAGGCATCCAACCTCCTGCAACCCATCTCCAGGGTGAAGCCCTTGGGAAAGTACCAGAGCAGGCAGCCGGAGGTGGTTTAACTTGCTGGGAAGTGGGTAATGAAAAGCATCCAACCCCCCGCAACCCATTTCCTAGCTAAAAGCCCCCTGGAAAGCACCACTGAAGAGCGCAGCCTCACCATTTTCAGCAGGTCCTTGTCCCTCTAATGTTCAGGCAATGCTTCCCAGGTGCGGGGACCACGAGCTGGGGTTTGCCCTGCTCCCTGCCAAGCCCGGGCTCTTATCCTGCCCCCAGCTCCACCTCCGACCCACGGAGGGTGACATGCGGGGGGGGATGGGGACAACGTTATTAATACATTTTGCCTAATAGCAGATGAAATCATCCCGGGCCGTGGGTGGGCACGTGCCCCTCACAGCTCCATCAGCTGCATTTGGAGGGGATTCCAGGAACCTGGGGCAGCTTAGGCATTATTATTTCACGTCTGATTCGCAAAATGGTTTTTCTCCATCTAATTGAGCTTTCCTGCTCCTGTCAGCTTTTTTTTAAGGAAGGGAGAAAACACACACACATTGCTGCTGGCCAGCGTTTGTGGCACTGGCGGCAAGTGCCAGCTCCCCAGGCGTTGTGCCGCACGCGACATCTCCCGGTGTTGGTTTGGTGCTGCCGTCCTGATGGACTCCCTGGCCTTGGCCAGCTGGGGGACATACCTGGAGACATGTCACCTCCCTGCTGTGCCAAACCTAGAGCACTGCCTGAGCTACTGGTTTGCAGTCAGCTGCATCAGTTCAACAAGGACACCACTAGTTTGCAGCCCACCTGCACCAGTCCAGCTGGGGGACACCACTGGTTTGCAGTTCACCTTCACCCAGTCTAACTGGGATGCTACTGGTTTGCAGCTCACCTTCACTCAGTCCAACTGGGATGCCACTGGTTTGCAGCCCACCTGCACCAGTCCAGCCTGGCCCAGCCCCTCTGCCAGCTGCCTGTGGTGGGTAGCGGCCTGGAGGTGTTGCTGTGGGATGAGCCCCACACAGAGGGTTTTGTCCCAAAGTTCCCCCCTTAGCAGCTGTGGGAGCACCCAGGGGGTCTCAGGCTGGGCAGGCACCTGTGTGAGATGAGTTGGTGAGTGCTCAGCCTGCAGGGCTGGCCAGGGCGAGGAGCCAGGGTGCCCGGGACCGGGGCTCAGACCGCTGGGTGTCATGCCCACCCCCATGGCCGCAGGGTGACCCGTCCCATGCCAGCCTCCCTGGCAGCAGCAGGGAGAGGAAATAACGCCTGCTCTGTTCCTCCTCCCAGGGATGGCCAGGAACTCACCCCCAGCAGCCAAAATTAGCCAGTGGTGCTGATTCACCCAGCATATTATGCATCACCGCAGCTCCGCGTGCCGACACGTCACGGTGTGGCCGGGGGGTTGTGGCCTGGCTTGCGTCAGCTGGGCACGGGAATGTGGCACTGGGGTCCCGGGGAGGGTGAGGACCCCTAGCCAGCACTGCCAGCACTGAGCATCTGGGAAGAGCGTCCCAGCTGGGGTGGGCAGTGGGCACGCTTGACTCAAGAGCTGGCCCCAGCCTCCATGGGCATCTTCAGTGGCGCACCAAGAAGCATGGCATCTCCCCATGAGCACAGCTTTAATATCACACACACACCCCCCCCGCATTGGTATGCATATACATTCGCTGTATACAGATATACACAGAGAGCAGCGGTTTGTATGGGTGCCGCAAAGCCCGCCTAACAGCCCACAGGCCCCTGGGCCCCGAGGCAGTGGGGGGCACGTCCCCACTTGGCGCTAGGGCTTGGGGGAGGCAGGGGCTGTGGACCCCCAGGAGCCAACATCGCTTTCATGAAGCCTTTGAGAGCGAGCATAGGCGAGCAGGAACCTCCTCTAACATAGCACCATCCTCAGGGTTTTCCTGGTGGGCTGGGGGGTGCAGGCAAGCCCCCCCCAGATTGAAAACAGATGTGCTGCTGGCAGGCATGCGAGCTGGAGGGTAGCGCACGGAGAAAGCCTCCGGCCTCCCCACAGGTCTTTGTCAAACCATCGCAGCCGCAAAAGGGGAACCAGGCCCCAGTTGTGGTTAAGGTGAAATTTATTCAGATGGAGCTGGTTGCAGGGTGGGTGGTGAGGGATGCCATGCAAGGAGGCAGCGCCTGGCCCAGGGTTGCAAACTGCCTCCCCTGGCAGAGAGTGGGGAATGGGAAGGGGTTTGGGGGTCTGTGGAGGGGCAGGGAAGGGGATGAGGGTGTTAGATGAGGCGAGAGGAGCGCAACCATGCCAAGTCCCAGCTCCACTCCTGGGCCAGGGGAGAGGGGGCATGGGGCCAAGCGCTATCCCGTCAGCAGCAAATAAGTTAAAAATCAAACTGGGAACAGCCCAGGAAACCTCCAGGTGGGAAAGGGGGTTAAAAGTCTTGGGGGGTGCGTGGTTTCCCATTTGATACAAGTTTCACCTTAATGGGCAATAAAACTGATATGAAAGGAAAAACCCATGAGCAGCAAAAAGACATGTTAGAAATAGCACCAGGTTCCTGCCGGGGGCTGGTGGGCATGTGGACCCCACCACTGTGGGCAGCCCAGCCCCGGCGCGGCAGCGCCCGGGCCCTGCTGCCGGGCAGCCCTGCCTGCCAAGACACTGCCCGCACTTATGCCTTTGACTGCCCTCCCACCTTGCTGCTGGCAACGCCATGGGCATCTGTGGAGAGAAGCAAGGGGGTGTCAGAGCTGAGGAGGGGGACCAGCATCATCCCCCCAGGCTCTGGATCGGCTGAGCTCGCGGCACCAGGTGGGGATGCTGCCAGACCTGCCAGTGCCATGCCTACCTGCCCCTGGGTGCTGCCCACAGTGCAGCTCGCACTCCTCCTTGCTGTCGAAGCGGTTGAGGTTGCCCCGGCAGCCGCTGTAGACGAAGGGCCGGCATTCGGTGACTCTTTGGTTGTAGTACCACCGCAGCGTGTAGTGCTGGCAGTCCCCCTCATCCAGTGGCAGGCTGCAGGGCTCAGCTGCGGGGTGCAAACGGCGATGGTGAGGGCAGGCAGGAGCCGGCAGCACACCAGTGATGGAGGCAGCTGGACCCACTTGGCAGAGGAGGAGAAACCCCAGAAGGGGAAGCCAGTGGATGGCTCCCAGCTGAGTGCGGGCAGGGTTTGGCTGGAGGGGACATCTCTGCCCTGCCCAAGTGCTGGGAGTGAGAGCAGGAGATGCTGCTCTGGGCAAGCCCTCTCACAGGGGCAGCTCCCAGCAAAAGCTGGAGGTAGAGCTGGGAGGCAGGTGGCACAGGGACATGACGGCCACAGCGTCCCTTGGAAGGGTACCAGCGGGACCCTCTGGATGCTGCTACTGCCGCCAGGGCTTCCCTGCTCTCCTGGGGGCTTTGTGATCCTCTCCTCCAGCTCATGACCAGAAGCACAGGAAACCTGACAGGGGCAGCAGGTCCCACCAGCCCAGCAAACCATCTGTCACTGCTGGTGATGGCTTCAGTGAGGGGAATGGAGCACGAGGACTGCGCAGCATGCATGGCAGTGCTGTGATGGGGAATGTGCGCCCTGCCTGGGGGCCAGCAAGAGGGCTGCAAATCCCCCCAGCCAGAGGGTGCGGGGACCCGCTGCCAGGCGGGATGTGGAGGTTTCACCCCAGAAAAGCCCAGGCAGCCCCATGGTCGTCTCTGGTGGCTCCATCCTTGGGTGCCGGGCAGGCGCAGGGAAGCTCACCGCCCATCGCAGGCTGCTCCGAGCTGTCCATCTCGGGGACCTCATCGTAGTCCTCCTCCTCCCCATACACGCTCTCGTACTCAAGATCATCAGTGTCAAGCACGACTCGCCTGTCCTGCCCTGGGAGACAGCGCTGGATGTGAGCAGCACCTTATCTCCCCCTCTGTCCCCTCCACCCTGCTCCCCCCAGCCACAGCCTGGCACACAGCCACACACCTGCACGCACACACATACATGCACACACCCCCATTGTCGCCCTCTCCTCTCCCCGGTCTTTAATTAAAGCCCCCTGGGACCGGCGGCATGGCCACTGATGGATTATTCCTCAGTGTCTGCAAGCAGAGGGCAGGGACGTGACCAGCGACAGAGAGGGAGCAAGGGAAAAGGGGGATGGGGACTAAAAGCACAGGGATGACACTCACCCTCCTCTTCCTCAGTGTGTGACAACTTGAGCACAGGGACTGCATGAGCGCTGCCAGCAGGGAATGGCTGGGTGGGGAAGAGCCCTGCGAGGGCAAAGGACACGGCGCAGGCATCAGAGAGTCAGAGAGGTGGCGAGGGGGCCTGGGGTGCATTCCCCCTGCCTCCCGGGAGGAAACCACCCCTTGGAAGTGTGGAGCAGCCCAGCACTGCCCCAGCACTGCTGCAGCCTGCCGGGGTACATGGCCAGGGATGGGGAACCTAGGGACACCCCCCTCGTCTCTCTGCTCTGCAGACCAGGGCTGCTGCGGGCTCCCGAAGGAGGGACAGGCAGGAGGAGCTGCTGCCCAGTGGGACAGGAGCCATGGGGAGCCCAGCAGGATGGGGACGGGGATGACAATGGGCACAGGGAGGCACATGTGCCCACAGGGCCAGATCTTGTAGGTCCTCCGGGCTCTCCATCACCTGTTTGGCCGTGCTCCCTCTCCTGGCGCACACTTCTTCCTCCTCCCTGGATAGAGTGGAGGCTGCTCCTGGCCTGAGCCCCCCAGCCTCCTTGGAGAGAAAGCACCCACCTCATCCCAGCCCACCCCTTGCCCCCAGCCCTCCAGCCCACTCCTCCAGCTCACCCTCCCCTCCAGCAGTCCTGGCCCCTGCAAGGCCACCTGCCCCAGCTCCGGCACCCAAGCATGGATGAGGCGCAGTCCCCGTGGTCCCTTCTCTATCGGGTAGACCCTGGTAGTGCCCAGACCCCATTGGCACCATCCCGAGCCACCTGCCCCTGGGGATCCCTGCCGCACCATCACTTCTGCCATGCACCATCCCTTCTCCCTGCACATGGTCCCACGCTGATGCTGGCCCTGACCGAGGGGGTCCCAGAGGATCCCAGCCACCTCCAGCACCCCCAAAACCAGCGGCACACCTGGGTGCTGGGACCCCTTTGGTACCACACGTGCAGAGCAGGGGCAGGGGGGGTAGGAAGGGAAAGCCGCAACCTGAGTGCTCACGTGAATCCAGGCGCTGTGGGAAGTGGCCGCCGCAGGCTGCAGGAGAGATGGGGCGGGGGTCAGGGGCAGCGGGGGACCAGACCCCCGGCCCCGGGGCAGTGATGGGGAATGCTCACCGCAGTGCTGGCTCATCTCCTGCCTGACGAAGGTGCGGATCTCCTCCTCCTGCCGGACATATGGAGGGGCAAAGGACCCACATCGCAATGGGGGATGGTGCAATTAGAGAAGAGGAAAAACCCTTTCCCCGGGCCCCAGCAGAGCCCGGAGGTGGGGGAAGGCCCTCAATCAGTGGCAGTGGGATGGATCCAACACCGCTTCCCACCCCGGTGACGTGAGCGCTGTGAGTCTGAGCCAGGTCCCTCCTGGCTCCTTACCGTCATGCCCGGTTCCCCTTTCTCCCCACGGAGCCCCTGGGTGCCAGGACTGCCCTAGGGACAAGCAGAAGGGAGGTGGGAGTTTGGCCCTGGCTGGGGCTCACCTGCCCAGGGCCGGACACCCGCTCACCCACCTGCTCTCCTCTCTCGCCAGGGATGCCGGGCACGCCGCGGGCCCCTGGCACCGACTGTCCAGGGGGGCCTCTCTCCCCCTGCAAAGGACACATGCTCAGGATCTGGATGGTGGCTCTGGAGCCTCTCTGCTCTCCTCAGCCGCCATGGATGTTCTGCTTTCCCCATCCCCGCAGCGCAGGGACACCTGTGCAGGTGGGGACGGGGACAGGAATGGGTCTAGCCCAGCCCCAGGACAAGCAGGGTCCCAACCCCTCAGGCTCCCATTCCCTGGGCAGGGGGACACAAGGGAGGACCCCAAAGCCAGTGAGCTGGCAGGGCAGGGACTGAGCTGAGACATGGCTCCTGATGCCACCAGCCCCTCACCCACTCCGGGGACAGGACCCTCCCCTCCTCATGGCACCCGGAGGGGGACCGGCCAGCTGCACTGGGGACTCACCTTCTGGCCCTGCATGCCCTCGGGACCTCGTGGACCAACGTTTCCTGGGGGCCCGGGGGGGCCAGGAGCACCGTCACTACCCCGGGGACCAGGGCCACCGATAACGCCCGGGGCGCCCTGCAGGAGAGCAGAGTGTGAAGCTGGGGGTGTCAGAGCCCCATGAGCAGGCACCATGGGCATCCTCTGACCCCGCAGCTGGCCATCCCCAAAGCACTGGCACTGGTGCCTTCTTGTAAAGAGTGGGAATTTGTTGTCACTTATAGTTTAGTGACATAATTTAGAGCAGTGCCGGACGGCTCTTCTGGGAGCATTGGGCTCTGATGTGCTTCTGACCAAGGCGAGGTCCTGGTAAAAGCAACATGGTGCAATGCATACCGTCCCTTCCCAGCCTGCTCACCCGGTCTCCTTTCTCGCCCTGGTCTCCTTTGGCTCCCTGCTGCCCGTCGAATCCCCGGTCACCCTGTGAAGAGGAAGAGGCAGGCAGCGGGGGACAGGCAGCGGGGGACAGGCAGCCGGGGGGCTGAAGTGCCAGCACAGCTTTTCCTGGATCTGCCCTAACCTACCTTGGGTCCCATGAGCCCCTCTTTCCCAGGGATGCCTGGTGGCCCTGACAGACCCAGCTCTCCCTGAGGGACAAAGCAGACATCCATCAGCCACCTGCTGTGCATCCCCATCCCACCCCAGTGCCAGCGTGATGCTTACCGGTTCGCCTTTCCTCCCCGGCAGCCCCGAGCGCCCCGGGATTCCCGGGTCTCCCTACAGCAGGCAGGAGAGAAGCAGGGCGGTCAGTCGTGCACTCCTTAATGCTCACCCCAGAGCCGCGGGCAGAGGAGGGGACCCCATGCCCCTGCCGCGGGGCTGAGCTCCAGCCTCAGCCATCTCCCTGCTCCTGCCGGCTGGCGGAGGGGATCCAAAGGGCCGCAGCCTCCAGGCACCGTCCGGGCTCCTGTGGCACCCTGTGGGCACCCACTCACCTTCTCGCCCTTGTCCCCATCGAGGCCGCAGGCGCCTTTCATGCCCCGGTCCCCCTGCAAGGATGAGGAGGGAAGTCAGAGCCTTGCTGGGCTGGCATGGGTCCTGGCTGGGAGAGCACCGGTGGGCAGAGGGACCAACCCACCTTGGGGCCGCGCATGCCCAGGGGTCCCATATCGCCCTTCTCTCCCCGGGCTCCAGGGATCCCATCACGGCCAGGCTGGCCCTGCAGGAGAGCACACAGTGTGACAGGGGGTCTGCTTCTGCCCCATGGTGGGGTGGCAATGGCACTGAGATGTGGCTCCTCACCGGCTCGCCAGGCTCTCCCAACGCTCCAACCTCTCCCTGGGGAAGGCAAAGGCATCGGTCAGGGCAGGGGAAGGGGATGGTACCCCCGACACCCCCCAGCACCCCGCTAGCAGCGAGGGATGCCCAGCTCCTTACCTTCTGCCCACCGGGGCCACGTGCCCCGGGGAAGCCTGTGGAGCCCTTCTCACCTTGCTCGCCTCTCGCCCCCTGCAAGCAGAAACCCAGATTGACACAGGGCAGAAAGAAGAGCTACGGCCACAGCATGGCCATGGCACAGCCACAGTGGCCTCCGAGGCCAGCTCTGGCAGCTCCCCTTGCTGGGATGCCAAGCATCGTGCCAGGGTACCCACAAGCACCAGCATGTGGGGCAGAGTGATGCCACCATGCCCTGGTCCCTCTGTCCATCACCCTATCTGCAGCCCTCTGTGGTCCCCAACCCAGCACCCCCCAGCCCTGCACAAGCCCCCCCAGCCCCATACCTTCTCTCCAGGCATGCCTTGCTCCCCCTTGTCTCCCTTGTCCCCTTCTGTGCCCTTCAGGCCACGCTCTCCCTGCAAAGGGGGAAACACCGGGAGGGGTCAGGAGACAAGGAGATGCTCAGACGCATGTCAGGGTGGGGAGGACAGACCCCCCCAGGGCAGGGACAGAGGTGTCTGTGGTATGGCTGAAGGAGAGGGGACAGTGTGCTCTGCGAGGGAGCGTCCCTTGGCAGAAAGAAGCCGCCCCAGCTCTTCTGGCAGGTGGGGGAGGGGGGACGGACGACTGTTCTGTGCCACTCAGGAGAGGGGGTGCAGGATCAAACCTGTAGGGCTGGGAGCTGCCCTGGGCCAGGAGCAGGGCAGGCAGGGCCTTGGGGAGGGGGATGCACAGGAGAGCCCCTGCCCATCAGGATAAAAGGAACAACACAGAGGGGGACAGGGAGAATGGGGACATCTCTTACCGGCTCCCCCTTGCTGCCCCGTGCTCCGGCGGGCCCCTCCACTACCACAGTATCGCCCTGCACACCCAAAGGAGGGGAGGGGGTGAGTGGGGGGGCCAGCACTGCTGCCCTCCCTCCCACTGCCCCCTAGCCCCGGGGACTCACCTTGTCTCCCTTGGGCCCTGGGGCCCCAACGTCTCCCTGAGAGGAAGGTGAGATGGTGAGACGCTGCAAGGGTGCGTGGCAGGGAGCGGGCAGCACCTCCCTGGGGACCCTAATCTCTGGGGGTGCATCGTTCGTGCCCCCCGCCCCCAGCTCTCCAGCCCCCAGGGTCCCTTACCTTGTCCCCACGCTCCCCCCGGTTCCCAGGCAAGCCCTGCAGGAGAGAGGAGAGGGGTGGTCAGGGGGTGGCCCGGCCAGGGGTGCAGCCGGGGAGAGGAGTATTTACCGCCGGCCCGCGATCGCCTTCTGGCCCTGGGCGCCCGTCTTCACCCTGCGAGAAGAAAGGGATGCGAGAAGGGGGTCTGGGATGGGGGCATCCCCAGCATCACCCCACCCTGGGGACAGGTGCAGAGCTGGCTCCCTGTCCCCTCGGGCCTGGCACCGTGGGATTTCCCGTCCCTGGTGGTGGGGACACGGGGGGCTGCAGTGAGGATGCAGGGGGGCTGTGGCGGTACCTACCCGCGGCCCCGGGTCTCCGCGCTCGCCTCTGGCTCCCGGCAGTCCGGCCCCCGGGGCACCCTGCCAGGGGAAGGCAAGAGCTCGTCCCTGTCCTTGCTGCCCACTGCTCCTCTCAGCCATGTCCTGCTCCCCCCACCATGCCAGGGGACACCCTGCAGACCTTCCACTGCCCCGGGTGCCCAGCACAGAGCAGGCTTCCATGTTTCACCATCCAGAGTGGTTTCAGCATCACCCAGGGGTGGCTGCAGCAAGGACACCCCATGGGAGGAGTGGCCCCACATCTCTCATGCTATAGGGCTACCCCCATCCTACCTTGTCACCTTTCAGGCCAGCGGCCCCTTGTATGCCCTAAAAGAAAAGAGAGAGGTGAGTGAACCACAGGAGGAAGGCAGTGCCAGGCACCCCGCAAAGCATCCCTGGGGCTCCCACAGCAGCTCCTGCCCCATGCTGGAGCCCCTGGCAGCCCCCAGCCCCAGGGCCTGGGGCCAGGAAGGTGCAGGGTGGGTGCCCATCACCCTGCCCGAGCTGGCGGGGCAGCCAGGGCAGAGCCTGCACCCCCCAGGGATGCCGCAGCACTGGAGGCCCATACTCACAGCTGGCCCTGGGGGCCCCGCAGGTCCCGGTGGTCCAGAGGTGCCGTCTCTTCCAGGAAAGCCGATCAAACCCTAGCAGGGAAACATGTGGTCCTTAGCAGGCAGGGACCACGGCCAGGAGCCAGCAGGCCTTGCAGGGACCCTGCTGGCACTGCCTGAGGGTCTGGGGTCACCCAGACCAGCAAGGCTAAGCACTGGCCATAGCCTTTACCCTCTCCCCCGGGGGACCCGGTGGGCCAGGCTGCCCGTTGTCCCCTCTCAGGCCTGGCTGTCCTGGTGTCCCAGCGATGCCTGCTAAGCCTGGGGGTCCTGGTGGTCCTGGCAAGCCGACGTCACCCTGCAGCAGGGAGGAAAAAGATGGGGCCCAGCAAAACAGCCCCCAGGAGCGTGCTTCTCCCATGGCTGGCTGAGCCAGGGCAGCACCTGGGTGTCGGTGACACAGCAAGAGCCAGGGTGACATGGGGGCAGGGGTTACCTTCAAGCCTGGAGGTCCATCCTGTCCTGGAGGTCCCCGCACACCGGCACCTGGCGATCCCTGCGTGGTGGCAGAGCACACAGTGTGTCCCCTAGCTGGTGGGCACTGGGCTGCCAGAGGTACCGAGCCACCCAGAGCGGCCCCACAGGGCTGGGGAGCACCACACTCCCCTGGGACCAGGGGACACTTACCTTCTCCCCTTTGGCTCCAGCGGACCCCTTGGCTCCCTGCAAAGACACCAGGCCACGAGGAAGGGCTGGGTGGTGGGGGCACTTGTGCCCCCACCGACAGCATCTGTTGCCCCCACCACCTGCCCCCCAGCCCCCCATGTGCATCCTACTCACATCTTCCCCAGGATCCCCCGGCTCCCCAAATCTTCCTGGCTCCCCCTGGCAGGGGAGAACAAGCAAAAAGCAGGGTTGGGAGATGATGTGCAGGGTGAGCAGCTGCAGCTGGACCCCCCCTGCCATGGGCAGGCAGCTGGGGAGCCCAGGGCCCCCATGGTTCCCTCCCCACCAGCCCCCCAGGGCAGCACTCACCTTCTCACCCTTGGGGCCGGGCAAGCCTCGGTCGCCCTTGGAGCCCTACCAGGGGGACAGCAGCATTAGGGGAAGGGGCGGCCACAGGGCTGACTTGCCCCTTGCAGAAGGCATGGACTGGCAGCAGGGGGGATGAGGTTAAAGGGGTGACAAGGTTAATGGGGCCAACTCACAGGTTCTCCCAGCAGCACGCCCTCCAGCAGCGCCGGCTCACCCTGCAGTGACACATGGGTGCTCAGGTGTGCCCACAGCAGGTGCCAGCACCCTGTGGACCCCTGCCCGCCCTGGGGTCTTCAGCAGCACCCAGGGGTGGGAGGTCCCCTGCCTTGCACCCTGGCTCCTTACCTTCTCGCCTTTGGCACCGGGAGGGCCAGCGATGGCCTGGAGCACAGGGAAGAGAGGGGGCAGGTGAGCAGGGCTGCACAGGGATGCTCCCCTTCATCCTGTCTGGGGAAGCTCCCAACCGACGAGGCAGCTCTGCACTCACCTGCCCTGGGGCTCCAGCATCCCCTGGCTCTCCCTTGGGACCAGCAGGGCCCGAAGGTCCAGGCATGCCCTGGCACAAGCAACACAGCCCTCAGCCTCAGCTGCAGACACGCTAGGCTGAGCCTTGTAGGGCTCCCTCTGGGACGGGACACGGTGAGCAGCAACGTACCATCTTCCCAGGCATCCCCGCCTCGCCGTCCTTCCCCGGCACGCCATCCCTGCCCGGCACGCCTGGCTTCCCGCTTTCCCCCTGCGGGCAGTAAGAACAGGGCTGGGGCACGGGGGTCCCGCAGCCGCCTAAGCAGCCCTGAGCACCCACACCGATGGCAGCTGAGCAGGGGGAGATGACACACTCACCACTTGTCCTGGCAGCCCAGGGACACCCGGGGGGCCCTGCAAGGGAGACACAAGCAGAAATCAAGTGGCAGCCCGGGCACCATAAACAGCCAGAAAGCAGGTCAGGGTGGGCTGCAGATACTTACCCCTGGGCCAGGGGGGCCAGGGGGGCCTGGCAGACCCACACTGCCCTGGGGACCGGGCAAACCCTGTGATGGAAACAGCCACATCAGAGAGGGGATGGCACGCTGCCCTGGCACAGCCAGGACCTCGGCTACCGCCACGGGAAGGTACATGGCGGCAGGACCAGCTGGCTTTAGGGGGGCCAGATGGTGCTGGTGCGGAGGACGCAAACGCTCACCCGGATGCCGGAACCAGGTTCCCCTGGATCGCCCTGCGAAGACAGTGCCTGCATCAGTCCCACCGCCCCGGCCCACCGGCCACTGTGGTCACGGCCACATCCCTGTGCCTGCCACAGGGTTGTTCCCCAGGGCCGACTGGATCTGGGAGGGGGGCCAACCCGAAACGTCCCTCCCTCCAGCGCAGAATATCATGAAGCGTGGCCCTCCCTCCAGCCCCCAAATCTGGCAAGGCACCATTTTCCTCTGCCAGGTCAGACGTGGTGATGCCGATGCCAATGCCATACCTTGGTACCAGCTGGGCCCTGGGCTCCTGGTGGGCCGGTACTGCCCTGCAAGGGACAAGGGAACATTATTTTGTGACGGTGCTTGCTGGTGGCACAGGACAGGGAGGGGGCAGTGGGGCAGCGTGGTCCCAGCACTGCCACCCCACCCCAGCTCCCTGGGGGGATGCCCGCCCTGGCTGACATCCCCCTTGCATGACAGTCCCCTGTATGTGTCATGGAGTGGGTCCTTACCGGAGGTCCTGGGGGTCCCGGGTCTCCCTGGCTGCCCTGAAGGGAGGAAGAGATGGGGTCACTGCAGGGATGGGTTTTCCCCGGTGGGTGTATGGGGTGTCTCCTGGGAGAGGAGACCCAGACAGTGCCAGCAGCTCTGGTAAGCACCCATGCCAAGTGAGGACAAGCCTGGCCAGCTCCTGGCAAGATGCCTGGGGCCAAGCACCCACCCAGGCAGCAGGATGGCCTCCACGGCTTCACCCAGCGCCCACAGCCAGGACCCCCCGACTGCGTGCTGAGGTGGGGGGGACACACTGACATGGGGGGGGGACACACAGACACCTACCGGGCGTCCCAGCACGCCGGGGAAGCCTGGCAAGCCCTGCAAAGAACCACATCAGAGCCGGCAGGCGAATGGGAGCCCACCACCCCAAGCAGCCCCACCTGCCCCCCAGGGATGCTCCCCATTCCCGGTGTGCAGTACCCAGCCTGGGGTACTTATGGGAGTGGGCCAGGAGGACCCTTAAAGCCCTGCGGGCCCTGTGCTGGAGGGAAAGGAGGCGAAGGAGACATGAATGCTCCCACTGGTGCTGGTGATGGCTGGTGTGGGACCACAGGACCTTTCCCCCATCCCAGCCCGCATCCCCCCCCCACGTCCCCACTCACCGGCTTCCCCTCGGGGCCAGCCAGCCCTCTCTCACCCGGGAGACCCTGGCACAAGAGACAGGGACAGGGTCAGCGCCAGGCAGGGTGACGGGGTCAGCGCCAGGTGGGGGGACAGTGCAGTACTCACCGGGGCACCGTCCCTGCCCTTCTCGCCGGGCTCCCCTCGCTCGCCCCGCGGGCCACCCTCACCCTGCAGTGGGGACAGGCACAGGGTTGTAAGGAGAGGCAGGGACTTTCCCAGCCCCCCCTCCTGAGGGCGTGCTGACACCCAAAGAGGGGTGCCCTCAGTAGTGCCCCCACCCAGGGCTTTGCTCCATGGGGCTGCCCCATTGGCAGTGGGAGACTTACGACCGCAGACCTTATCTCCTTTGGGTCCCCGCTCGCCCTCGGCTCCTGGCTCGCCCTGCGTCGGGGAGAAGACAGATGCCATCAGCCCCCACTGCCCCCCCTGGGGATGCCTGTCCCAGCCCAGCTCATCACATTGTCCCCGGCTCAGTTGCCTTGGCTGCCCCACTCCTTTTTGCCCAGCCACGCACCTTTGCTCCCTTGGGTCCAGCGGGGCCACGCTCGCCAGGGAAGCCCATCAGGCTGCCCTCCACGTCTGCCTGCGGGCAGGGCGCAGTCAGGGCTGGCACCCAGGGGACGGCAGGAAGGTCTCCCCGGGGGCACAGCCCTCCCCAAGCCCCTGTGCCAGGGGACTGGACATGGCCATCCATCCCCAGAGGTGCAGGCTGGCACCCCTTGGGGACGGTCCCCAGCAGCAGCCATCACCTACCTTGGGCCCTGGGGGCCCTGGGGGGCCAGGCAAGCCGTCCCTGCCCTGGTCGGGGGGAGAAAAATAGGTTGAGCATCAAAGGGAGAGCAGGGCACGGGGGAGCAGAGCCATCCCAGTACAGCCACTCCTAGCCACCATGGGGCAACTCCCTGCCCCCAGAAAGCCCCCCGTCCCCCCAAGAGGTACACAGGATGGGGAACAGCAGGGACTGTGTCCCTGTCCCAGCTCACCTGCTCGCCCCGGTCGCCCTTCTCGCCCCGGTCACCCTAGGAAAACAACGCAGTCGCCATCAGGGGTCTGTCCCCAAGCCCCTGGACCAGGTCCCCCAGCCCTTGCCCTGCACCTCCACACACACTCACCTTCTCGCCGGGCCGCCCGGCCTCCCCCAGCTCCCCGGCCCGTCCCGGCACCCCGGGGATGCCCGGCTTGCCAGGCTCCCCCGGCTGCCCAGGAGGCCCCTCGGGACCCCGCTCACCAACAGCCCGGCCCGTGGGGCCCTGGGGGCCGGGAGCACCCGGGTCCCCCTTGTCACCTTTAGGTCCTCGCTCGCCAGGGAAGCCTAAGGAGCCCTGCAAAACGTAACGTGCCGGGGGCTGTCACCCCTCTGCTAGCATCCCAGGGCTGAGGCGGCTGCATGGCCACCCCAGCCAGCCCGGGTAGGGGGGGAGCGGGGCAGCATATTTGGGCATGGCATCAAGCTTGGTTCCACTTACCTCTCGGCCCGGAGGCCCCCTCTCTCCCGGCTCCCCCCGGCTGCCCTTCTGGCCCCGCAGCCGCTCGGACAGTGGCAGAAACGAGTCCGAGCTCCCGTCATAGGCACCCGTGAGCTCCTTCAGAGATGAAATCTGGGAGGGAGGAAAGAGCCATGGGTCAGGGGGTCAGTGCAACCCAGCTGCGGCAGCACCCCACGGCCTCGCCAACCCATCTTGGGTCGCTCGGGTCTCCCACCACCTCCCGTGTCCCCCTCCTGCTGCCCTGTGGCAGGAACAACCCCCAGCCTGACAGCCGGGGACTATGTACCTTGATGCCAAGTGCTTCCAGGCTACGTTCAACGTTCTGCAATAAGAAGACATTAAAAACAAAGTGGGTGTTGGCCTGCTCCCACCGTGTGGAGGGTCCTCCATCCCCTGGGGCTGATGTCCCAACCCAGCACCTGGGTGGACAGTGGGGGACTCACCACTGCAGTCCCAGGGTCTCCGCGTGCTCCAGGGTTGCCAGGTCGCCCCTAGGTTTGCAGAGAAAGAGGGAATGAAAAGAAGTACAGAGATGCAGTAGGTGAGGTGAGCAGTGCTGATGCTGCCCTCAGTAGGTTCCAGAATTAACACTGCTGGTGCTGCCTGGGCAGGGGCTGCAGTTGCAACCACCCTGGAGCGCATCACAGCTTGTCAGGCTTGGTGCTGGGTACTCACAGGCTCCCCTCGCAGTCCAGGCTCTCCAGGGTCCCCCTGAAACACAGCAAAGGCATCAACGGGGGCAGAGCCAGGCTGGCTGGTGCCGACTCCAGCACCAGGGTCCAGCCCTGCCAGCCTGGGGGCAAGAAGTCCCACCAAGGACTTTTCCCATCTGGCACAGCATCCCCCAGACCTTTGCCTTGGGGGGCTCAGGGGCAGGAGCACACCCACCTTCGGTCCAGCCACTCCACGGAGGCCCGGTGGACCCTGGAAGACACAGAGGGGACACAATGGCACCTGGCACCCAGGGACATGGGGCAGTGCCCTGTGGGAGCCGTGGGAGGGGTCCTACCTGCCCCATGGCAGCCCGGACTCCAGGGTCCGGTGCTGGGTGGCACTGTGGGCTTGAGGACTACGCACCTGGCCAGGGGGGCCGACCTGCCCTGGGACACCAGGGAGGCCAGGGGGGCCAAGGGGGCCTGGCAGACCTCTGTCCCCCTGCTCTCCTTTGGCACCGCTGCGGCCCTGCCAAGAGAGCAATGTCATGCCCAGTACCTGGGTGCCCAGGTCTGTCCCCGGTGGGGGCATGTACCCAGCACCCCCCATCACCACGCTTCTCTGCAGGGAGGTACTCACCTCTCTGCCAGGGGGTCCTGCGTCACCTTTGTCTCCCTAATCAGGAGGGAAAGGAGTTAGAGGGATGCTGCCCCATCCGCATGCCTCAAAATGATGCTTATGGACCCAGGCAGGGAGGAGCCACCAGGTGTGTGGGGACCATGCAGGGACCATGCGGGGACCACCTGGGGCTCAGCTCCTTACCTTTCTCCCATCCTCTCCTGGCGTCCCGTCTTCTCCCTGGGGACACAAGCTGTCAGTCAGTGCCCGACTCGACCATCTCGACCGTCTCGGCACGGGCACCGCATGGGACAGGGACAGGCACCGGGGGCATGGCTCAGAGTGCAGGGGCTCTTTGCCATGTGCCCCCCTAGCCTTTATGTTGTATGGGGACCACCAGCCCTCAGGACCCTGGGCGAGCCCCAGAGCCAAGCCCTGCTCCCTGTACTCACATTCTTTCCGCTGAGGCCAGGTTTGCCATCATCACCAGGTTTGCCCTGGGAGGAAGCAGAGGCAGTGAGAGAGCCCCCCCGGTGCTCCCCCCAGCACCAGCAGCCAGGGGTCCCCAGGCCCCACTGCAGCCCCAGGGTGCAGGGAAGGGGGAGCTGGGCATGGGGCAAGCCCCGGCAGACAGACCCAGCTGGGACCGACTGCAGAGGGCATGGGCCAGGATGCATCCCCAGGGCGCAGGGCAGCTGGTACTTACGGGGACACCGGGTGGTCCTAGGGGGCCCACGGGGCCAGGCGGTCCCTGCTCCCCACGCAGCCCGGGCAGCCCCTGCAGGGAAAGGAGACAGGAGGAGCACTGGGTGGCAGGGCACCCATCTCCCCCAGCTGGCTCTGGGAGGAGGGAGTGTGACCAGGACAGTGACACCCTGCTAGGGACAGGGGATGGTCCTGCTGTGCTGCTTCGGACCAAGGAGCATGGGACAAGGCATCAGTCCCTTGCAAGTGTGATGGCCCCAGCAGGAGCATAACCCAAACCCGCACTCTCCGGAGCTACTTACATCCCGGCCGGGGTCCCCCTGCTTCCCTGGGTCCCCCTGCAGACAAGGAGGAGGTGAGAGCAGGGACACTCCTGTCCTGCCACGGACCCCCACGAGCACCTTCAGCCCAAAGTGGAGAGTGGCCGGGGGGGGGGGCGGCTCCTCCCACCCCATCGTCCCTCCATCCCACAGCCCCCACCTGCGGTGCCCAGGGGTGGCCATGCCCCCCACCCCGGACCATGCTCACCCGCAGCCCAGGGGGGCCCGGGGGCCCAGGTTTGCCTTCCAGCCCGTTGCGGCCATCCACACCTGGTGGGCCACGGTCCCCCTGTAAGAGAGCAGGGCAGGAGGGCTGAAGCCATGGGGCGAGACGGGGGTGCCATGGGGCAGCTGCCAGCCTCCAGCCCCCTCACCTTCTCTCCTGGCAGGCCTCGGTCCCCGGGGTCACCCTGCGGGGTGGGAAGAGGAGTGAGCATCGTCCCCCCTGAACAGGAGCTGAGCAGGGTGTGGACACCCCAGTCAGACCCCCACGGGGAAGGGGGGCACTCACCCGTGCACCAGGGGGGCCGCGGGGACCCTCCACACCCTGCAAGAGAGAGACATGCTCAGCAGTAGGGCATGGGGGTAAAAGGAGGGGGTCCTGGGTGCTCGCCCACCAGCTCCTGCACACCAGGACCCCTGGCTTTCCGGGAGAACATTGCCCGTCTTGCTGTCCCACTGCCTCCCGCACCAGAGACCCGGCACCTACCCTCTCTCCGGGCAGGCCGGGGGAGCCGGCATCGCCGCGGGCTCCCTTCGTGCCATCCTCGCCAGGATCCCCAGGGTCCCCCTGCCAGGGAAGGGCACAGCAGTTAGAGGGTACTGCCGTACTACCGTACTGCTGCGTCGCTGGCGCAAATGCCTGTGCCGAGCCGGTGCCAGAGCCCATGCTGAGCATCTCTGCTTATGCTGCACAGTTTAAGGGCGGGATAATTGCAAAGGTCTCAAAATACAGGCATGGGCTGAAAAAAAATGTTGCTGGGCTCAATGCAGCTCCTGGGTGGCCAGGTAGCGGTCGCAGAAGAAATGCAACAAGCAGCGCTGCTGAGCCAGGAGCCAGCTGAGCCATGGCTGGGGACAGCAATACTATCCAGCACAGAGCACAGCCTGTGGCCAAAACTGCCCCAAGCCTGAGCTGGCTTGTAAAAGCAAAAACACCCAGAGCGTAAGGTACAGCTGTGGGATCCCTACAGGACTAGGGACCCATGAGCGTGCTGGATCCTTCAAGGACCTCAGCCTTACAGGGACCTCCTACCCTGGCACCCTCCTCCCGGCAATGGGCAGGAGCATCATGTGCCCCCCGATCCCACATGGCTCGCAGCCGTGGTGCGCGTCGGCTCCACGCGGCAGGGGCTGTTTTGGGCAGGGAGGGCTTGGTGCACCAGGATCCCAGTGCACAGGCAGAGCCCAGCGGGAGACAGCACAGGACACCCCACCACCAGCATCCCAGGGGACCCACTTGTTACCTTCTCACCCTTCTCCCCCACTCCTCCAAGACCCACGTCAACCTGTGGGGCAGAGAGGGGCTGTCAGAGCACATGGGGCCGGGCACCAGCCCATGGGCAGGAAGAGGGGTGGGGGCAGAACTTACGGTTCGTCCTGGGGGTCCAGGAGGCCCCTAAAAGAAGGGCGAGGGAAGCGGGTTAAGGGGAGCTGGCGTGGCCCCAGCGAGGGCAGGGGTGGCTCCAGGGTGGGGGCCAAGCACGTGGCCCCGTGTCACTCACCGGCTCCCCACGGTCACCCTTGCTCCCTGGTGCTCCGGGGCTGCCCTGTGGGAAAGAGGGACAGGGTGAGGGGAGGAGGGAACACGGGACCCGTGGGGTGGAGGGTACCCCTGGGGTAAGGGTGGGCGCGGGGCAATGGGGTGAGCGGGGTAGTGGATGCCCACGGGGCAGTGGGCGCACACCAGTTGGTACTCACGTTCCTGCCTTCAGGACCTGGGTCCCCTGAGTCACCCTTCTCCCCGGGGGGGCCGCGGTAGCCAGGGAGGCCCTGGGTGGAGGGCAGAGGGAGGGTGTGTGTTGGCGGGAGCCACCCTGAGGCCACTGGGCATCTTGCCTGCCCCAGGGTGCCCGCCAGCCCTGCACTTACCCGGGGGCCCCTGTCTCCGGGTTTGCCAGGCAGACCCGCTTCACCCTGTGGGGATAGAGATGGTGAGTGGGGGGCAGCAGGGAGGGGGGCAGTGGTCCCAGGGGGTACTCGCTTACCGGGGTACCTTCATCACCCTTCTCTCCACGCTCTCCCTGCGGCACAGGTCAGCGGACGCCAGCCAGGAGGAGAAAAGCACAAGTCACCAGCATCCTCCTGCTCCCTGCCAGCCCCCCAACTCCTCAGTGCCATGGTGCCCCATGGCCCCCAGTCCCATCGCCCCTCTCGCCCCACACTACCTCCTTGCCACGCAGCCCGGTCTGCCCCGGGGCACCAGCTCGGCCCGGCTCTCCCTTCTCCCCTGGCTCCCCTGGGTCGCCCTAGACAAGGTGGGAAGGGGCAATGGGTCAGGGCAGCATGGGGGGAGCACAGGGGCAGCCGGGGGGAGAAGGGGCTCAGCACGGCACCCTCCACTCCCCGGAGCAGCATCATGGCACAGCCTGCAGGGACAACCCCTCCAGAGTCCAATGGATGGATGGATGGACAGATGGATGGAGGGTCAATGCCTCCTGCAGCGACATTACCTTTGGGCCGCTCCTGCCCGTGAGGCCAACGATACCCTGGTTGTTGGAGAGGGAAAGCACTTGTCACCAGGGACCTGGGTGGCCCCATGCTGGGGGAGTGACTGGGACCATGAGCCGGTGCCCCCAGGGCAGACACTGGCCAGCCCCAGCCCTCGGGGTGCACCCAGACTCACCCGATCGCCCTGCTCGCCTTTGGGACCAGCCGGCCCCGGGATGCTCAAGCCAGGGGCACCCTAGACACGAAGGGATGCAGCTTGGAGCAACAGCACAGGCACCATGAACCCGGGGGGGCTGTGCCATGCCCCCTGTGCGCCCCATCCCCAGGCAGTACTCACACGGGCACCTTTATCTCCTGCATCGCCCTTGGGGCCAGGAGGTCCTTCTGGTCCTGGGAAGCCTCTGTCACCCTGGAGCAGATGAAATGGCACCATCAGCCCCCCCACACCACCCCTTTCCCCCACTGCAGCTAGGGACAGCCAGGCCTGGGGACCAGCACAGGCATCCCCTCAGGTCGATGTCCAGCTGTGCAATCCCCCTCCCTAGCCCACGGCCATGCCCGGGGAGTGCCAGCACAGGGCCAGGGGGCATGGCCGGGGCAGGGTTACCTTCTCTCCTCCAACACCGGGCACACTGGGAGCCTGGGGGAGAAGCAGAGGGGACGGTGCTGGGCACTGCCCACAGCTCCCTGTCCCAGGGCTGGGGCAGGCAGACGTAGACCCACCAGGCAGCATCACTTACTGGCTTGCCAGGTGGTCCTGGATCGCCCTGTGGAGAGATGGGTGTCATTGCCAGCCCCTTCCCCAGCAGCCCCCTACCACCCCACTGGGACCCCACTTTGCCCTCACCTTCTCACCCCGGGGGCCAGCCGGTCCTGGAGCTCCCTGTGGTGAGAGAAGAGACCTCAGAGGGCTGATGGTGCCTGGGGACTCGCACCTGGGGCATAGCAGCCCCCACTCCGGGGTGCTGGGTCCACAGCACCCCAGCCACTGCTCCCACTCACCTCTCTGCCTGATGGCCCTGGGCGCCCTGGGGCTCCCACCTCGCCCTGGAGGAGGGGAGGAAGAGGAAGGTGTCAGGGGCATCCTCCTACCCCGTGCCAGGGCAGGGCAGGCATTGCCCCAGCGTGGCTGCAGCTGCCCCAGCTCACCTACCTTCTCGCCCTCGGGGCCCGGCACGCCGCGGTCCCCCTGCAGAGTGAAGCAGAAGAGGGTTTCAGGGAGCCTTCCTCCCTCCATGCCATGCTGCCCCCACCGCACGTGCTGCCCCAAAACCCTTCAGGGCCCAGCCCCAAATCGCATCCAAGATCACTGGGCTCCGACAGCAACGCCCAGCCACAGCCACCACGGGGCTGCAGGGACACCAGGACCTGCCAATGCTGCTGAATGGCACAATCCTGCTCTGGCACTGTCTCACCTTCTCGCCGATCTCTCCCAGCTCGCCTGGTGCCCCACGGTCTCCCTGACACAGAAAGAAGATGGGGTCAGGGGCAGAAGGACCCGCAGGGGATGGCAGGGGTCCCGGCACAGCACCCAGACCCCTTTTCTCCCTGCTGAAGGCAAGGCGAGAGCATCCCTTTGGTCCCCACACCACTCACCTTCCTGCCCTGCTCTCCCGGCGGTCCCCGAGGGCCCTGCAAAGGAGGATGGAGAAGATGTCACCTCTGGCGTGGCAGGGCAAACGCCCAGGCTGGCTGGACCGGGAGCCCTCTGGGGTATCTTCAGGGCTCGGCTCACCAGCGAGGCCAGCTCCTGCCTGCCTCACCTTCTCTTGGAAAACTCACCCGGTCTCCTGGGTCCCCGGGGCGGCCGGGCGGCCCTGGGAAACCTTCTTTGCTGTCACCCTGGGGATTAGGAAAGGAGACAGCCATGCCCATGAGATGGGGATGCCCATGAGATGGGGACGGGCATCCCCGCTGGAGAGCGGTACAGGGTCCGGCCCCAGCAGAGCATCCCCACTGCCCTCTTACCTTCTCTCCCTTCAGGCCGGGGGGCCCAGCAGGTCCCCGGGGCCCAGGGTCCCCAGGCAGGCCCTGCAAGAGAGCACAGCTCAGCCCCAGGGACACACAACTGGCACAGCCCCACTCCCCTCTGCCATCCCTGCTGGCTCAGGTGCCGGACTCACCGGGGGGCCAGGCTCCCCTCGAGGTGCTGTGCCATCCACAAGTCCAGGGGGACCCTGCAGAGACAGGGGTCAGCTCCTGTGTGACAGCCTGGGAGGGCTCAGACCTTCCCAACTGCAGTGCCCTCAGGCACCCACAGGACCTCTGTCCAGGAGGGCAGAGGAGCCAGGGAAACACAGAGCCACTCACCCTCTCCCCTCGGTCACCCTTCTCCCCCTGCAAAAGCAAAAAAAAACGTAGGTAAGGACAGGTCTGGGCTCTTCCCACGCCCCCTCAAATGGAGAGCGGGAAGCTGCTGGACAGAGCCCATCATCAGTGGTATCAGGGCGCATGCGTGCCATGTGCCTCTGCACACTGCCCAGCACCAGCAACAGCTCATGCGTGTTTATGTGTGCGTGGGCACAGCCCATGAGTGGGACCAGGACCACTGCACAGGGGAGCAGCTTCAAGCTGCTGGTTGTCCCTCCATCCATCTGTCCACATGTCCCCCAGCCGTCCCCACGCAGCACCAGGGGGCACGTACCTTCACGAACTCTCCCGGCGGTCCTGGTGGCCCCATGGGTCCAAGCGGACCGGGGGGGCCTGGATCACCAAATGGTCCCCGTGGACCAGGGCTCCCAGGCGGGCCAGGGCTGCCCTGGAAGACAGAGATGCTCAGTTCGCTGGGGCTGTGGCATGAGCTGGGGGTGCTGGCAGAGACCCCCTGGTATCACCACCCCCATACCTACCGGTGTGCCCGGCTCCCCTTTCCGGCCTGGCAGCCCCTGTGTTCCATCCACGATCACCCTGGGCTCTCCCTGAGTGAGGAGGAGGGAGGAAAAATCAGTGTCCCCGTGTGCCCGTCGTGTCCCCAGTGCAGGATGGGGGCTACAGTGCCACAAGGCCAGCAGCCCAGCAGGGAGACGAGGAGACCCTGGGGTCACCCAGACACCAAGTAATAGGAGATGCCAGGGGCTGAGATGTGCCCGCCAGGGTCCCCGCTGCTCCCCAGGGACGCCCACAGGGCAGCCCCATGCCCATCACCTACCGGCTCGCCTTTCTCCCCCTTCGGGCCAGAAAGCCCCATCGGCCCCCGTGGCCCCTGGGAAAGAAAGACGAGAGTGAGGGGGGAGGTGCAGGTGGGGAGCAGGGATGGGTAGGGATGGGGCCATACTCACAGGATCCCCTCGGAGGCCAGGGACGCCCTGGGTACCCTGGAAAACAACAGCTCAGGAGATGAATGTGTATCCCTGCCAGCCAGAGGAGTGAGGATGGGATGGGATGGGATGGGATGGGATGGGATGGGATGGGATGGGATGTGACGGGATGGGACGGGACGGGGGCTCCAGCCAAGTCAGGGATGGACAGTCCCTGCCCAGTACACTTGGCCTGGGACACACACACAGGGGACAGCAATGACCCTACCAGCTATGGAGACTCCCCAACACAAGGAAAGGGTAGGCAGAGGCTGGCTCAGGGAGCACGCAGGGCAGGCAGGGTGATGGGAAAAGCCCACCATGCAGCAGCAAACTCGGGGAGACATCCCCACTTACTGGCTGGCCAGGGGATCCGGGGTTCCCAGGGCGGCCAGGGCTTCCTGGTGTCCCGTCAGCTCCAGGTAATCCCTGTGGGAGAAAGGAGCATCACACCAGTGTCCAGTGCATGCTGGCACTGCCAGACCCCCCCAGTGCCCCAGACAGTGCTAGCCCTGGCACTGGGAGCCCAGGACAGCCCCATGGTTGAGCCAGGTCTCGGGATGCCTTTCCCATGTGTGCTGAGTTAGGGTGTGAGGGAGCAGCATGGGGCAGGACCAGGGCTCCCCAAGAAGATCCTCCAGCCTGGGTGAGGAGGAGGGAAGGACGAGGGGCAGAGAGAGACCCCATGGGGCTGGGTCCCTGTGCCTGGGGACCCAGGGGGCATCTGGGTGAGGGGATTGGAGGTACTCACCCTGTCCCCCTTCTTGCCTGGCCGCTCGATGCTCTCTCCTGGCAGACCCCGCGGGCCAGCAGGTCCTGGAGGGCCAGGCAGCCCATGGCGGCCCTGGAGGGACAGCGGAGAGGATGGGCTGGGTGGCAGGCAGTAGCCCTTCTCTGTCCCTGCAGTCAGGGCTGGACAGGTCCCTGCCTTGGCACACACCCACAGGCAGGACAAGGGGACCTGGGGGCCATGTTGCTGCCCCCCATCAGGGACCTGCCCCCCATCTCCCCCCCAGCAGGACTTTACCGGCTCGCCAGGGGGGCCCGGCTGCCCCACGCGTCCCTGCAGTCCCTGTGGAGACAAAGCCAGTGCTGACCATCCCCTCTGGGCTGGCATCAGTGAGGTTTGGGGGGACACAGCCCCCCCCAGAGCCACCAGCAGTGGGGAGACACCCAAACACTCACCGTCTCTCCACGGTCCCCCTTTTCGCCCTGCAAAGGGACAGAAGGAACAGGTTAGCGGCTGTACTCCCATGCTCGGCTCCCCACTGCACTGCTGCCATCAGCAAGTTTGGGGGTCCCTGGCATGGCATGGCACGGCACAGCACGGCACGGGGATGCTCACCCTAGGGCACTGCACAGTACAGGGCTTTGGCTTTGGCTCTGGCTCCGGCTGGCAAGACAAGGGAAGCCTGTGTGAACCCAGGCATAGGAGAAGCCCCTGGCCCCTGTGGGGCTGCTCCTGCTCTGCACCCCCTGGGGCACCCTGACCCCTTACCCTGGTAGAGATGATGGTGCAGAGGTCGTCGGTGAGCTCCCCCTCCAGCTCTGCCAGGGTGCCGCTGTCATGGTAGAGGTACCGCGGGTCCTCGCCGGTGACCACACGCCGGAGCTGCTCCCGGTCCGCTCCCTCCAAGCCCACCGCCAGCACCTGGATCCCTGAGTCGAGAGCACCCTCAGCGCCCCACAGGACACAGCCCCCTCTGTATGCACCCTGCTGGGACCCCATCCATCCTTACCCCCAGCCTTAACATCCCTGGCTGCGGCGATGGCATCGTCCCCAGAGGGGCTGTCGGCCAGGACCACCAGCACCGCCGGCACACTGGGCCGGCGCCCCGCACTGGGGCTCAGCAAGTAGGTCCTGGCGAAGGTGATGGCTGCCCCTATGGAGGGAGAAGGAGGAGGGGGGCGGTCAGCGGGGTTCCGCCAGCTGCTGCCCCGGCTCCCAGCGCAGCCCCTCACCGATGGCGTTGCCGCTGGGCTCCTCGTAGCGCATGGTGCGAATCTGCTCCAGCACGGCGGGCAAGTCACTGGAGCGGTTGAGGAGCAGCCAGGGCAGGCTGCGGTAGCTGTACGTGGCCAGAGCCACCTGTGAGGGTGCAGGGGAGCAGTGGGTACCACTGCCCGCCCGCGCCCCCAGGACCCCCACCGCCGTGGCAGCACCCTACCTGGGTGCCCTCGGGGCCCAGGCGTCCCAAGGCAGACACGGTGTTGGAGAGGAGGGTGCGGACGGCATCAGCGCTGGAGGAGCTGTCGCGGGTGCCATGGACGAGGAAGATGATGTCACCGCGGGCTTCCCTGCAGACTGCAGGGTACAGGGAAGGGGTGAAGCCGCGGGCAGAGCGGGGACAAGCCCAGCCCGTCCCCCCGGCGCGGCCTCACCGTACCCGTGCGCTCGCTGACAGAGGTCTCGGCACCCGGCGTGCTCCCCAGGACTGGGCGGAGGGTGAAGGTGTAGCGCTGCCCCAGGCGCAGTCCGGAGACCTGCTGGGAGCTGGCAGCGCCGGGCAGCGTCTGCCCTGTCTCCCCCCCAGCTGCCACCCAGGGGACAGAGTCAGGGGGACTGGCGAGCCCCCGTGGGAACACTGCCCCCTGCCCTGGGGCTGTTCGCCCGCCTCACCTGCGGGGGGGGTCCAGGAGAGGACGTAGCTGGAGGCACCGGGGACGGGGGTCCAGGTGAGCGTCACCGAGTCTCTCCGCACATCTGTCACCCGCAGGCTGGTGACATGGCCTGGGGCAGCTGCCAAGGAGGAGGAGGAAAGAGTGTGCCGGCCCCATGGGGCAGCCCCCACCCCACTCCTGGTCCCCCAGCCATCACCCTCCCCCAGCCAGCGGCTGCGACAGCCCGGTCCCTGGATGCCCCTCTGGGCTCCAGCCCTGCGCCGGGGGTCCGATGCTCCCTTGGCCCCATGCAGCCCCTTACCGGTGACGGCGGTGACGGTGGCCGGCTCGCTCTCCCTGCTGCCAGCCAGGCTGGTGATGCTGATGTGGTAGCGCCGGCCTGGCTCCAGCCCCCCCAGGTCATAGGAGCTGGCAGCGGCTGGGAGCTGCTGGCTGCGTTGGGGCCCCCCTACCAGGGGGGAGAGAGGGGTGAGGGGGGTGCAGCATGGGGGCTGGCAGGGATGCAGGGGTGCTGGCTGGCCAAGCTCACCCTCAGCCAGGCGCCAGACCAGGCGGTACCCAGCGCTGCCGGCCACC